CATACTTCACAGCTTTCGTCAGAGCCAGGTGTGAGCTTCTCCGTCTGGTCTCATCCAGAATTAGTTCTCATAGCTTTCCATAGATCCTATCTGCTTTCGAACTCTTCAAAGCCTTCCGATGACGACAAAGGAAGCTTTTCCTGCAGGGGTGGTTGATGTCTTAAGAGAAGACCCCTATCTCCTCCTGCATCCTCCTCCTCCTCCACCTTTTTAATTGTAATCTTTACTGTGATTAGAAGCAGATTTTCTTTGTGGTTTTACTAGCTTGGCCACTCAATCTCATCTGCAAAGGAGATGGGGCAGCCAACAAATCCAATCAAATCAGTCCTACCAACGTAGCGGGGGCATTAGGTTGGGCAAATTATGTGGCTTGCATCCACATCAAGCATTCCAATGTGAGGCACCCACAGAGGGGAAAAGCAGGTCTGGTGGAGGCCATAGATGACAGATCCGAGAGGGGACATTCCCCCACATCGCATTCCAGCCAGGGAGGAAGAGTTCATTTCAGCGCTTTCTGATACATTAAAGCATCGTCCGCAAGAACTTCAGAGTTATTTGTCCCCTGCTGTGCTTTGTTTGCCAAATAATGTTTGCCTGTGCAAATATTATTGCATCAATTCAAGATGGTACTGACGCAAGGATCTCTATGGTTACCTTCCCTACTTCTTGTTTTGGCATTTCACAAGACCTATTTCCCCTCCCCAAACGTTGCTATTTTTCAAGGACAGAAAGCAATAGACCGATGCTCACACAGGATGGGGAGCGCTGAAGTGTATTATTTTGCCTCCAGGCTCTTCAGAATCTTCAGAAGGTTCTGCGGTGAGGCATATTCACTAAATGTAAGCCTTTGCATTTGCTCACTCCGGTTTTTCCTTGAGAACGTAAGGACGTAAACAGTGCCCTCCACGATCAGCCCAAGTAGTCCAAGAGTCTGTTCTCCCAGTGGCCAACCAACTGCACAAGGAAGTCCACCAATCACCCAGTAGATGGTCTCCAGGGGTTGCACCACCCCAATAGCTGTTGATCTCCATGGCTTTATTTGCATCTAATAAAGAAATGTAAAGGTTTCCCTGTCCAGGCGTGTCTGATACTAGGGGGAAAAGTATTCTCTATTTCTAATAAATTCCTGGGCTCATGTAGTCAACTCATGAAGTCGAGGTACATGAAGCACTGTTATCTTCCCACCCAAGTGGTACCTATTTATCTGCTCACATTTGCATGCTTTTGAACTGTTGGGCAGGAACTAGGGTAAGTTATGGGAACTCACCCCGTCAGGAGGCACTTCGGTCTCGATCGCTGGCTGTCACCTTTCCGGTTGACAAGCTCAGCATCTTTAACCACTGAGCCACCCTGCCCCCTTTGCACCTACCGTAGTAACAGACAATCTGTACACTTTTTTTTACATCTTGCATTTTAAATTTTAAATTTTTGTCATCTAGGGTGCCTTGTTTTAATTGTGATGCTTCTGACACAAACAAGCAAACAATCTACTATTTACATGTTTGAAGCTTGCTCCAACAGTCCCTTTGAGGTTGGAAGCTGGCTCGGTTTGAACACAAGCCACGATTTCCTTCCCCATGCCCATTTTCTCTGAATTTTAAAATACCGGCTTATTTCTTTGTTGCCTTTATCTATCTAAAGGGTTTTGAAGCAGTGCTGGAGGCAAGCTGGCTTCCAACCAAAGAGATCACAAGACATCCGAAAACATAATCCACTAGATCAATGCAATAATTTCCCTAAAGAATAAAATTCTAACCATGTGCCTCCTCGCTTTGTATTTCAGGAAACCTTTCGCCCCTTTTCAACTTTATTATTATTATTTTTACATTTGGGCAATTAGTCTGCATTGCAAACGATGTTTCCCTCCCAAGAAAGTTTGCTTAATGAATTTAATCAAACTCCTCCAAGCACCTTCAAAGGATGGTAACGTTTAAAAGGAGGAGAGAATGATTTTGTTTTTCAGAGGGTGATAATTGTGGATTAGACCTAAAACAGAAAGATAGACAGATACACGTAGATTGTTCTGCATCACTTTAGTCTATTATTCATTACTTGACAACAGGAAAGTGGGGTAGCCAACTGATGATTAAGGAGATAAAAATAATTCCATTTGTAAAGGACCAAGATCTAAGTTTAATTACTCATATTGATTAGATAAATATTTGTGGGAGAAGAAAATCTCCAGGGTTAAATTGCCTATATGGAAATGAGATTCAGCTGTCAGTATTATAAGTACTGGTTGGTGTGTGTGTGTGTGTGAGAGAGAGAGAGAGAATTCTAGACATTTCTCTTCCTATTCTCATGGAAAATTGGAATTACAAATAACTCAACAGCACCTTAACGTGAAGCAAATTTCTATGAGATGACTATTCAGGCCTATTTACTCTGTTTTACTACAAAGCAAACGTAATTAACCAACTGCATGAAATAACCAAGGATGTCATATTATCATTTAAAACTTGGATTGATTTATTCTATGCCTTGGAGAACAATAGGTGCAGTTTCTGGTTTTGGAATGTTAGAATATTGAAATCAAAAGCTTTAGAATGCGATCTTACAGAATGCAAAATATTATAATGTCAGTGACACTCTTGAGTATAGCAAAATAAAAATATAATAATTACAGCACCGGCATTCTGAAGCAGAGCAACAGGAACAAAAGTCTGCTCGTTTTCTGAAAGAAATCCCCACTTGATTTGGAAATTGCAAAACATGGGAGATTGGCAGGTGCACTTGAGAAGCGTTTCCTGATAGTTGATGGTTTCACAGGATTGTACTATGCGGCTGGCTTAACTGTCAGACCCCTGGATTTCCATTTGTTCTTCATCTCCGTTTCATTGTGTCTTTGCCATCCAGAAGACGGCAGCAATAAAGAGCTCCCATGTTTACAAGATGGGAATTGGTTAGGCTGCAGTCTGAATCTTAACACTTTGCACTTGTCAGCCCTTCAAGATTTCTTTCCTTTGCTTTGCATCTTTCGGCTGTCATAAGTAATGGGGGGGGGAGGGGTGGAATAGTTATGGGAAGCGAGCTGGAGGTTTCAGAGAATAAACTGTATAAGTTGTGGGGGGGAAGTTTCTTTTTTTATGCTTCTCTCTTATGCTATGCGCAAGCGCACCTCTTTATCAAAATATGTCAAGGTCAGTGGACAGATGCCACATCACCACCTGAAGATGCCCACATGACGTTACATGCAACTTTTAATTGGATGGACAGTTTGAATTATTGTGGGTGGGAACGTTACCATCACTTTGTATATGTGATTTACGCGCTCCTTTTCTCAGATTCAGGATTCCTTTGATGCTACCACTTGATTTCCAGTAAAAGATATATTTTCTCTAATTAATGGAGTCTAAGTATTTCTTTCTTGGATTTTGAATGGAGCACCAGCTGACAGCACTGCTGTTCCATAGTTGCTCTGCCTGCTTTTCTGGAACTGATGTAATACTTCACTGGTGTCTTAGAAGCTGCTTATCTCTAGAACAAAGATCACTAACCTTTCGGACCTCAGGGATCACTAAAATCATAATTTTAACTCCCGCGGACCACTAACATGATCTGCCTAATGATGGCTGGGTGGGCGTGGTTAGGTGGTCATATGACTGGGTGGGCATGGCCAACTTAATTTCAGTCATGTCATGGGGCGCCTCTCCGGCTTCTACCCGGCTCTTCCCTCCCAGCAACTCCTCGCCTGCCCGCCCGAGCTCCTTAGGGCCTCAACTGGAAGCAGTTGTTGGAGCTAAGCAGCCACCAGGAGAAAGAGTTGGCAAAATAGCCGGCTCAGTTCAAATGGATCTGACCAAGAAGGAGGCTTAACAGAAGCACCTCACTGAGGACTACGAACGTAGGCTTTCCAAGCAGAGGGAAGACCTGCGGGAATCCAAGGCCAGGTACTGGTGCCTGGAGGCTCAGAGGACTGAGATGGTCAGCCAGATCCAGACCATGATGCAGACCCACAGGAACAAGGCCCTTCGGTTCTTCGCCACCAACGGCACTTCCCTCCAGTCTTTGCCCAAAGCCTCACATCAGGAGGCTGAAGCAGACCCCAAGTTGGAATTTCTGGTCCCCTCTGACCTGCACAAAAGTGGGAGAGTCTCTGCAGCAACACAACGTTCATTGCATGTGTGATGAACCGGGGTGTGGCACAAAGGCAACACAGTCGGATAAGCAATAAGAGTCCATTTATTATCTCCAACTTTGCCCTCAATGTCCAGGTTACCTTCTGGCTGGAGAAAAACTCTCCCAGGAACAGCCTTTGACTGGAGAAAATTAAGTCCAAGACATGGTCAACACAAACTGTAACTTAAAGTCCAATCAAGCCAAACTGAGGTAATTAGTTTGGCATGGCAGGAGCAAGAATTTCAGACTTGGAGGCACCGCAAAACCCACATGGTTGGGAAGATGCCAGGAACACAGATAAGCCATGATAACACAGGATAAAGTCACATTTGCTCCCAGCAGCCTGCCACAGGCAGCCGGCCTTTCTTATCAACTGTCTTCCCAGCTGTGGCTAATGAAGGGAATCAGGGCCCTTTTCTCCCCCGTAACCCATGCAACCCATGTTGTTCTCTTCTCCATTCCTCCCTGCGTGCCCTAGGATGAAGAGGGGGTGGGCCTAGTTCTTCCTCTGAACTCCCTCTCCCTTGTTCTATCTCTTACCTGCTCTGCCCAGCTGGACTTTGCTCTTCCCTAGCCACACTCCCATTCCTTGTCAACTGTCTGGCTTCCTCCTCGGATTCAGACTCTGACAGGGCCATGACAGCATGTATCTGGCCCACAGGGCGTAGTTCGAGGATCCTTGATTTAGTGCAATATAAAAAAATTCAAAATTCAATTTTTCTACGAACCACGAAAAATTTTCGTGGACCACCAGTTGGTGACCGCTGCTTGTGAGGTTGGCTGTTGAAATGTCTAGGCCCCCTAGTTTTCTCAACTACCTTATAGGTTGGTAAATAAATGCCTATATTAGGAAATGCCTAAAACCTCCTTTCACCAATTTTGAATTTCTTACCATTTGGAGACATTGGTCAGCATCATCAAGATTTGGTAATCAGTTATGCCCTTGCAGTCAAAGTTCAATCACTTGAAATAGCATCTACAGACCAAATGTCCAGATAGTGCAAAATTAGAAGGCATGTTCATCATAAAGTTGGACATTCTGTATATAACTGAGGATGAGATAGATTAAAAGTCTTACAGCAAGCAAATCCCAATTAAATTTCATGACTTCTTTGAGTAATAGTGCAAAATGAAATGATTTCATTCACTGTTGACAAAACATGGTTGGCTTCATAAAAAGAGCACCAAGGTTGAACATGTGGCAATTAGAAGCATTATCAATTCGGTTTCCAGGGATTATAGATAAGGCAAGCCAGAAGATCTGATATCATAAGGTAAAGGAAGTGCAGCTACTTGGTCTCCTTAGACAACATTGTTTTGATTTTTCCAGGTGCAATTAATCTTTGCAATATTAAGATTATTTCATTTTCACATTTCCAAATATGAATAAAAGCAACTGAACAATCCGTCTGCCTTATTCTTCATCCGATTCATTTATGAGGGGAGCATGTGCGTTCTTTTGCATCCTTATGCCAAGTCCAATTGTAATTTGTGTGTTGCTCCTTTTACAATTGTGGAAGTAGCTGTGGACAACGATAAGAAATCATTCTAATTAGTTCCAAGATGGTTCTGTTCGGCTGATTACTTATGAGGTCATTTTGGGGGTAGGAAACTGGGAGAAGCTTTCAACTTTCAAAAACCTTCTAGAAAGGACCAGGGTAATTGTCCTTCAAGAATGAGATACTGTTCTCCTCCCCGCTGTGTGAGTAAGAAGAGGGGAAAGGGTATATCAGAAAGGGAAGTAACGGGAAGAAAAGAAGTAAGAGAGTGGAACTCTAGCAGAGAAAATGAGAGAGAAAGAGAGAAAAAGGAAGGCCCACTCATTTCTCATTCAAGTCCACACTGCTATGGGAGTCATCACCCATAGTTTCTCCTGGAAAGCATGTGGCCCTTAATAAATAGGTTCCCCCATTCATATGTTATACTTGACGTTTGAGAAATCCACTTTGAAAGAAGTTCTGGAGTTGCCTAATGGAATTCTTAAGAGATTAACAGAGTTGGAAGGGACCTTGTAGGTCATCTAGTCCACACAGACCCTGCCCAAGCAGGAGACCCTACACCAGAGGTCCCCAAACTTGGCAACTTTAAGACTTGTGGACTTCAACTCCCAAAATAGCTGGCTGGAGAATTCTGGAAGTTGACGTCCACAAGCCTTAAAGTTGCCAAGTTTGGGGACCCCTGCCCTACACCATTTCTGACAGATGGCAGTCCAATCTATTCTCTGTGAGCACAGAGAATAGCACCTCCCCAACACAGCAAGGGCACAGGCCCCAATCCTCCCGCCCCCTCCGTCTTCCTCAGGAGCCCACCCACCCCTTATTGGATTCTGGAATCATAAGAACTGAGTAGGTACGTTCTGGAAGGAAATATCTTTTTCTGGAAGGAAATATCCTCTTACTGAACTTCTCAGACTCTGAGGAAACCTTGTCTGATTTCAAATGGTTCCCGCTGAAGGAGTGAAAAGAGGTTTCCTTATAGGAAAACTGGCTTCATAAGTCAAATCCTGCTCAAAAGTACCAGTAGGAATTTTGCAAAAGCATCTCCAAGCACCTGCAGCTTTCTATCTCTAAGGTGGTCCAAAGCATTTTGAACTTTGCCGTGTTACATGCTCACATAAGTAACAGTCCACAGCAAGAAACGTGGTGAACCAGTGGGTCTCAGCTGGTTGACTCTACAGAAGGCCCACATTTCACATCACATTCTATATAGCAGGGCTGTCCAACCATGGCAGCTTTAAGACTTGTGAACATCAACTCCCAGACTTCCCCAGCCAGCCATGGAAATTGATTCTGGGAGTTGAAGTCCCCAATTCTGGGAATTGGTCCACAAGTCTTAAGGTTGCTAAAGTTGGACATCCTGTTCTACAGAGCATGGCTTTGGCTTAGAAGGTTGAATGAACCTGGCTGAAAACCCTGATTTATTCAGTAACCAAGAATTACGAAAACCATGGGTTAGCATAATAAATGTTTGTTTCTGGTTCCTTGGTCTCAACAACTTGTTCCTGGGTCTCTACAAGATGATCTCAATAACCTGATGATTTCCTTTGGAAATCTTTGCATACCCTTCATTCAAAGACATAATGTTTATCAGGAACGTATTATTCCAGAATACTTACCAATAAACCAGGGTATAATTCACTGCCGTAATGAAGATTGCAAGGGCAAAATGCCAGCAAAAGCACATGGTGACGAACATTACGTTGCTGTGGTCATTCAGATCCCATTCTGGTCCTCCCCATGGTGGATATAACACAAAACCTATCTGGAATTTTTCAGAAAAGTGCATTCATGATCTATGCAATTGACAGGCATGTCAAGTGGCAAAGTCTTTGGGTAATGCTTGAATGGCAAACATTTCATTTTAGAAGCTGTCCAGCATAAAAATAATTCATTTACACTGTGATGACCCAGAGTGGGATACAAAACAAACACAGTCACAGAAAACAGGTGAAGCCCCTTTTATTCCTTCAATTTGCTTCCAAGCTCCGAATATATTTGATGGAAGACCAAAAAAACCTCCCACACAAACAGTTACACGAAGAAGGAAAAAAGTAACACAAACCAGGCAAGATAAGGGCTGGAGGATGTCCACAGATAACACACACTGGGAAGGACTCCAAACTCAGAGAGGAACTATAAACTAGAGATATTTACACGCTTTGTTTCCAGCTTTTGCCAGTACGCAGGTCCAAACTCTTATTCACTTGTCTCACTTGCAGCCCATGAAGAGGATCAAGGTCCTCTCCTCCCGAGGAGACCACGTCTCTCCCTTATCCTCTCCTCCCTGCGTGCCCTAGGATGGAGAGGGGATGGGCCTGGGTCCTCCTCTGACTGCTCAGTCAGCCTCTGCCCATTCCCCAGCCTCCTCCACAACCTCCGGAGCCCCACTTCCACTCCCTGTCAGCTGTTCCTCCTCTCCCTCGGAGTCAGTCTCCACTAGAGGCATGACATACACCTTATTTAACTATATGTTTCTTTTACCCCACACTTCTCCTTTCCAACAATGTCCAAGTTCTTGTGATACTCTAATAACGAGATGTGAGGCCAGTGAGGCAGTGTTTAAATGGAACTAAGATTATATTATTCCTTTGGAACTCTGAATTAGCTAATCCTCGATGCTCAATCAGTTCATATTGGCTGTATATGTATATACCTGCATTGTTGCTGGGATTCAATTTTTTTTTACTACTGGTTCTATGGGCATGGCTTGGTGGGCATGGCAGGGGAAGGATACCATTAGATCTCCAGTCAGAGGTGGTATTTGCCAGTTCTTTGAACTGCTCAAAATGTCTGCTACTGGTTCTCCAAAACTGGGCAGAACCTGCTGAATACATCTCTAACCTGTATATAATATGTTAGCAATTAAGAGATCAAGAGATAAAAGCAGAGGTGGTAGCAGGTTCTGAACAGTTCTGGAGAAGCAGTAGTGGAAATTTTGAGTAGTTTGGAGAACCTGCAAATCCCACCTCTGACTGGCCCTGCCCCCATCTCTTCTCTGCCCCCTGAGTCCCAGTTGATTGGCTGGGTCTTCTTTGGTTGCCCTGCACAAGAGAATGGAGCTGGAAAGCAGGTTAGTGGGGTGGGGAGGGAATATGGGATTTTGCAGTAACCTTCCTAGGGGTGGGAATAGAGATTTTGCAGTATCCTTCCCCTGCCACGTCCACCAAGCCACGCCCACAGGACCGGTAAAAATTTTGAATCCCACCACTGGATAAAAGCCACAACCATAATTTATGTCATTGGCACCAATGCATTACAGCTTGTCCATGTTCACCAAGGTGCTAACTCTCAACTTTTTGGTCAGTAACCACCAATTGCTGCACCCCAGGTGGTTGCTTGATACTGGTTTGAGGACACGGCCCTTCCTTTTCAGATCGGTTCTAAGCTGCCCCACACCTTATATAGTGGATTTATATAGTAGATTCAGTTCTCTGGAACCTTAGCTTCTTGGCCAATAGCAAAACTAATTTAATAAGAAAACAGAAAAGATAACCCACCTGCCAAAACCAGGTTCCTTGCAAGAGGGCCAGGCAGGCTGAAAATAAGTCCAAAATCATATTGTCATGCACAAAGACTTGTATAACGCAGGTAGCAACACCAGCATAGATGGCCGTCAGGAGCATGACATGGATGTGTTGATCCAGCATTGGCCGTTGGCTGACATGATATTGGAAGAGGAAGCCTATTAAAATGCAGAAGTTGTTCAAAGCTACAATCGTTTTCAAGAAAAGTCTTTATACCTTAACATTTTTAAATAGTAATTTCACTAAAGATTACAATCCCCAATAAAAAAATTAATACACATAAAGGAGAATAGAAAGAGAAACTAAAATGTCCAGAAGAAAAATTGGAAAAGGAAGAAAAGAAGAGTGTGATTTATAAAAAGAAGAGACTTTCCCCCTTATTACAAATATAATCATTTTGATTGGACCTTCTCTTAAAATAAAACAAATGGTCTCTTTTTCTCATATCTCAAATGCCACCTATAAACAAATCCATAAAAACCTCAACATTTCAGACCTGATGTCAGCAAAAGTTCATTAAGTGTTATTAGAGGTGACCTTTCTATTACAATCTTGATCAAATAAACCAACTTTATATTTCTTCCTTTTACTTTGAACAATCTTGATTTTCAAAGAAATAATATTTCATTTTTCCTTTGTCCCTTCTCATGAAATTCTTTGTCCTGCTGCAGTTGTTGGCTCTGGGTCTTCAGTTCTCCATTTCTTCATCATTCTTGTGGACCTTGATCCCAAGGTCAGGAGAAGCTAAACTACTAATTCAGGGCCTATATGTGGCCATCATTAGAAATCATTCATTCATTCATTCATTCATTCATTCATTCATTCATTCATTCATTCTTTCAATCAGCCAGCCAGCTAGCCAGACAGTCAGTATATTTGTGTGTATGTGCATGTGTGTGTGTGTTAAACCCATCATCCTGGGCCCAACATTTGTGAAGCCAGGCTCTGCCTGTCACAAGTCAGGACAAAGGGGAGGAGTATTACTCCTTAAAAAAAAACTTTGTCCATCTGGCCTGGTTGGTAGTACTTTGTAAGGGTCCTTTTCTAGGCTTACAGAAGTACCAATACCTGGCAACAAGTATAAAATGCCTTCGACTACAGATAGAATGACTTGTTGGTTGGTGTACCTCAGTTGTATCAATGGCGAGGCCTAGTCAAATTTTAGGTCTGAATATAAGGGCATCCCCCAGAAGTGATGCATGCTGCCCTCCTGCCCGAGAGACATGGGAAATTTGTGAGGCCTACCCGTCTTTGGACAGGATGGGCTAAAGAAGCTAGTCCATCTACCTATTCAGGGTTTCGGCCAGTTCTTGGCTTCTCCCGGTCATTGTTCCAGTATTGAGGGTTGCAATATGTAGAAGTCTTGTAAGAAGAACTGTGTGTGTCTTGCATCAAACCATCATCAGTAGCTTCAGTGATGGCATTCTGGTCCTTACAACCCATTCCCCTTGCTTGTGCCCAATCTTCAGTGATGGGTGGGTAAAAAAATCACAATTAAAGTTTGAAACAGTTTATAGATGCTTAAGAAAGTCTTGGCTTCCCAAAGTAAACACATATGGTTTCTGATCTTCTGTGATGACCCAGAGTATCTCAGAAATATAACAAAAACCAAAACGTAAATAAAAGTCATTTAACTTGGCTTCACTGTTTAATTGTTCACAGTGGAGGAGTAAACTGTTTTCAAAACAACATTTCAAAGGCAAGAAACACAGTTCGAATTCAAAGAGCTGATAACGAAGCAAAAACCAAAAACAAACTGCAACAAACCGCATAAAGTTCCTCGACAGACCAGGATAGATAATTGCCAACTTCAGGAAGATAGCCAGATACAGTCTGTTGGAAGAATGCCAACCAAGATAAACCTTCTTTAGGAATACAACCCTAATTTGTCTCCAGCGTCAGTTAGCACGCAGGTCCAACCTTTTATGCAGATCTCACACCTGCAACCCATGAAGAGGATCATGGCCCTCTCCTCCCAAGTAAACCACATTTTACCCTGATCCTCTCCTCCCTGCGTGCCCTGGGATGGATAGGGGATGGGCCTGGGTCGTCTTCTGATTGCTCAGCCAGCCTCTACCCTTCCCCAGCCTCCTCCATCACCTCTGGAGCCACACTTCCACTCCCTGTTGGCTGTTCCTCCTCTTCCTCAGAGTCAGTTTCCACCAGAGGCATGGCATCTTCTGCCCCAGAGATTAATGGGATCGGTGTGGTGCTTGAATTGGCAAGTCACGTTTTTAGTGGTGAATGTTAAAAGCCTAACCAGGTAAATTGCAGCCCTGGTTTCAGCTATCTGCTAGATACAGTGCAGTTCTTATGGATCGAGTGCAATTTCCTTGCATGATGAGGTGTCTGAGCATCCCGTCTTTTACGTATAAACATGTTTCCCCCATCTTCAGCTTTCCTGCTTTCCCTGCTTTATTTAAACTCGTAATGACATTCAGATGGAGGTTCCAGAATGATGGATAAGATGGGTAACCAAACCCAACATTGGTTGCATCCATCAGCATTACCAATAACCAGATAAGCTCACAGGGACTTCAAGAGGATTTTGAAAGCCAATCCTGCAGCATCCTTACAATAAAGTAGAATAATGGAAGACTCACTAGTAAAGGAAATACATTTTGAGGAAGTGTTTTGGAAGAGTACTTTGTAAAGCACCGGTTTTATTGCTCTCCTGGGGCAAAAGAAAAAAAAAAAAGCAGAAGGAATGCCTTGTGTCTTGAGCCACCACTCCATGAAGCTAACGACCAAATAAAACCATAAAAGTAATGAAAATGCATTAACCTGCAACATAGGCAGAACATAGGCAGAAACTGGAAGTAAAACAAACAAAAAAAGATTTAACAAGCAAAAAGCACGGAGCAATTGGATCAACATGCAGAATTCTGAATAACAGAGCTGGAAGAGAAATAGAATAGAAAGGAATAGGAATAAGAATAAAAATAAAAATAGGAACCAGAACAGGACATTGAGTTGGAAGGGACTTTGGAAGTCCTAATCCAACCCCCTGCTTAGGCAGGAAACCATATACCATTTCAGACAAATGGTTGTCCAATCTCTTCTTAAAAACCTCCAGTGTTGGAGCCTTTATAACTTCTGGAGGCAAGTTGTTCCACTGGTGAATTGTTCTAACTATCAGGAAATTTCTCCTTCATTCTAGGTTGCTTCTCTCCTAGATTACTTTTCATCCATTGCTTCTTGTCCTGCCTTCTGGTGCTTTGGAGAATAGCTTGACTCCCTCTTCTTTGGGGCAGATCTTGGAGGTCTTCTAGTCCAACTCCTTGCTTGAGCAGGAGATCCTATACAAGGGGTCCCCAATCTCTAAGCTCAGCCCACAAATGGGCCCAGGAGGGGTTTGCAATGGGGCCATGGATCATACCTGCACACGTATCCTCACTTGAGTGAGCAGTTGGGCGAGCATGTGCGTGCACACTCCATTTGCATGAGTGGCAGTGTGTGTGCACACCGCTCGCAGAATTGGAGCTGTGCACAAACTGTCCACTGCTTGTGCAAATCACTCACACCCCACGTCGGTATGCCAAGCCAGAAATGTTGGGGAACTCTGTCCTATACCATTTCAGACAAATGGTTGTCCAATCTTTTTGTTAAAACCTCCAGTGATGGAGTCCCCTCAATAACCAGTTAGTTAGTCAGTTAGTTAGAATGCAGTATTTGTGGGGAAACTCTGCCAACAGGCTGGATTTCAATTCTGCTGGAGCTCAAGGTTGACTTAGCCTTCTATTCTTTCAGAGTCAATAAAATGAGGAGCCTGATTGTGATGCTGACATTCCAAAGTGCCCAGAGAGTGTGGTAAAGCATTATGGAGCAGTACATAAACCTACATACTATGGTTATTGCTATAATCAGAGAGAAAGGAGGCATCTAAGCTGAGAGAACCGGATAGTTATGCAGCAGTCAGGGTGAAGGTTTTACTTGAGACTCTTCCTTTGTGAGGTTCTTAGAAAGGCTTCTTTAAGGAGCAAACTTATAGACACGAATGATTTCCAAGTGGTGGGAAACTCTCGTAAACATTGATCCTTGAGCGCAACAAAAATGGTAGCTAGAACTTCCCAAATGCCTGACAAAGATGCTTCCCATGTATAGATAATCCTTGATTTATGGCCACAATTGAGTCCAACATTTCTGTGAAACATTTGTTAAATGAATTAGGCTGCATTTTATGACCTTTCTTGCCAACAGTTGTTAAGTGAACCGTTGCAGCTGATAAGTGAGTAGCATAGTTGTTAAGTAAATCTGTCTTCCCCAATGAAGATGGGATGAAGGATAGCAGTCTTCCAATATTTGAGGGGCTGCTACAGAAAGGAGGGGGGGGGTCAACCTGTTTTTCAAAGCGCCTGAAGGCCAGATAAGAAATAAAGGATGGAAATTGAACAAGGAGAGATTCAACCTGAAAATAAGGAGGAATTTTCTGACAGGGAGAACCATCAACCCATGGAACAGAAGTTGCCCTCTGAAGTTGTGGGAGCTTGATCACTGGAAGCTTTCAAGAAGAGACTGGACTGCCACCTGTCAGGAATGGTGTAGGGTCTCCTGCTTGGGCAGGAGGTTGGGTTAGATGACCTACAAGGTCCCTTCCAACTCTGTTAATCTGTTCTGTTATTCTGGTCATAAGAGTGAGGGTCAGCTGTAGTCATTTTTTTCATTGTGGTTAGAACTTAAAGTGGTTCCTAAATGAATGATTATAAATTTAGAACTACCTGTACTCAACAAGAGGCCAGAAACACAATCTAGAGACAATGTGCTAGACGTTCTTTCCATAATTTGATTTCCTTCAGTATCAGTTGCCAAGCATCTGAATTTTGATCACATAAACGTAGGGATGCTACAAAGATTGCAAGTTGAAAAGCGGTGTGATGACCCCGGGGTGTGGCACAAAGGCAACACAGTCACATAAGTAAGAAAAGTCCCTTTAATTCCTCCAACTTTGCCCTCAATGTCCAGTTACCTTCGGCTGGAGAAAAAAATTCTCCCAAGAACAGTCTTTAAGTGGAGGAAATTCAGTCCAAACACGAAGTACATATAAACTGTAAATAAAAATCCACACAAACTACGTTGCAGCAATTAACTGGACAGGGCAGGATAAGGAATTGCAGACTTAAAAGGCCAACAAAACACACATTTGGGAAGATGCCAGGAACCCAGATAAGCCTCGACAAAACAAGATAATACATGATTTGATTCCAACAAGTTGCTGTGCGCAAACTCCCTTTTTAAACACTGTGTTTCCAGCTGCAGCTAATGAAGGGAATCAGGGCCCTTTCCTTCCCCATAAGCCACGCAACTCACGTTGCTCCCTTCTCCGTTCCTCCCTGTGTGCCCTAGGATGAAGAGGGGGTGGGCCTGGGTCTTCCTCTGAATTCCTTCTCCCTTGCTCTCCCTTTCCCCTGCTCTGCCCTGCCAGATTGTGCCCTTCCCCAGTTTCTTCCACAGCCAACGGAGCCACACTCCCACTCCCTGTCAGCTGCTCGGCCTCCCCCTCAGGATCAGATTCTCACAGGGGCATGAGAAGCAGTCATAAGTCATTTTTTTCCCCATTGCCATTGTAACTCAAAACAGTCACTAAAGGAGCTATTGTAAGTTGAGGACTACCTGCACTTACTGTCTCTCAATTTATGCCTACCTTCCACAAAGACCGCAATACCCAGCATGAAGCGATCCAGCCCAAGAGGCATTAAGGTCGTGGAATAGGTGATTATATCCACTGCTCCAGAGATCAAAAAGAATAAATACATGGTGGAATGTTGCCAGTTCATCAACTTCACCCAACTTCGTGGTTGTCCCCTGTAGAGATAGAGGTGGGGTCCATCGGGGACAAACTGCTCAGCAAGAATCCCTGTTCAACAGAGACCAAAGTTGAATAGATCTGTTAGGGAAGGTCCATCCCAAGGGAAAGAAACAGGGTAGAGCCCAGCAGTGTCACAGGGTGTACCCCAAAGATGCTCTTTCAAGAGGCAAATGGCCTTTCTGGTTTTTCTTTGAAAACATTTCGCTTCTCATCTGAAGAAACTTCTTGGATGAGAAGCAAAATGCCTTCAAAGAAAAACCAGAAAGTTCACTTGCCTCTAGAAAAACCACCCTTGACTTGGATGATGGAGAATCTCCATAGATGTCGCAGGGTAGAGTTAAAAAAATTCGAGGTGTGACACACATCCAAAACAGGTAGAGCTTCTATCACCTTTGATGGCACTAACCTGGACATTTTTTAAAGCACCCTGTGAATACCACCAGCAAAAGTAAAGTAGCGCTGTGAGTATGCAGCAGGAACTGTTGTAATTTTCCCATGCTTTGAGAATGCTTTTCCAGTGACACCGCAGGTTTCAACCTGTTCTTTCTAACTGCTTCCGTTTGACTGCAAAACTTTATACCCCACCTTCAGCTAAAGAAGAAAGCAAGCCTTGCCATCTATATGCTCAATACATTTTCTTTTAAAATCTAAAATATTGACACGAAATAATTTTAAAAAGCAACAGTAATGACCAGGGGAGGAAAAAGGGCAAAACTCATAAATTGCAGCAAATAACTCCAAGTCTATTTCAGATGATAAATCTAAGTGGATCTTGAAAAAACGGTGCAGTTAAGGATATAATTTGGCTGCTTAATTGGTTAGATATATTCATTAAAACAATTGTTTGATTGTTGCCAAAGAATTAAATAGCAGAATTTATAACATTAATTCAACTGGGGATCAAAACTGCATATGGCAAAAGCCCACTTCCTTTGTACATGTCTTATTTAATTCCTATTTAGTGGTACATTTAATATCTCATTAGAAATAAATCCTACACAGCTTGACCTCCGTGGTTGTGAAATTCCACGAGATACAGTTCCACCAAATTTGAAGAGTGTTGGATTAGGATGGTTGATTTTGCGCTGTGGTGAATTATGCAAATAATCTCATTTACCTTCCAGATTTCTTTGATGTGGGTCAAGGGGTCTCCAACTTTGGCAACTTTAAGACTTATGGACCTCAATTCCCAGAAACCCTCAGCCAAAATTCTGAGGGTTGAAGACCACAAGTCTTAAAGCTGCCAAAGTGGGTAACCTGTGATGTAGGCAATTGGTTTGCTTAAAAGGCACATCCTTTCTAGAAGGATTTGAAATGTGGATTTACAGAAGGCTGTTACGTATAAACTGGGATGACAAAATCAGAAAGGAGGATGTGATAAGCTGCCTGGGAATGCCAAGGGAATTCATCAAAACCATAAACAGCCAAAGTTAGACTATTTCAGACATGTGATGCAACACCTGGAATAATATGGCATACTTCACTTAATCTTTCAAATGAAGAACATCATGGCTTTAAGATCTAAGGGACTGGTTTGGACAAAACTCAGCAGCACTTTTTCATGTGACCGTTTATAACAATAAAATCACCAACATGATTGCCAACATCCAATGATGGATAGAAGAAAAGGCACAAACTCAAATCAAGGAGAGTGATAAGCAGCTACCCTCAAATGCCTTAAATCAGTTGTTGAATTCTGAATCTTACCTGCCAATGTAAAGACAACTTTGACTGCCCCTTCAATGATCTCCACATGTTTGAAGTTCCTCTGGACATGATTATTCTTCTTCGGTGTCCTGCTGACATGTTTCAGTGAGTATTTCACTGACCACCAGAGACCGAACAATATAAAGAAACTCCCTGGGAGAGCATGGCCCTTAAAATTTGCCATTCCTGTCCAGGCACCTCCGGAAGAAAAGAATATCCTGTTGTTAGAATCATTCAGAGAAGTATTAATGTGTGACTGCAGGACACTGAGTCTAGGACAACTGAGATTGTGAGCCCAATACAACTATTTATGAAGAAATAATAGCTTCTGGAAAGAACACAGACTGGAATAACTGGTTTCTCTTTGAAGTAAATTCTTCCTCTTCAGGTTTGAAGTTCTGATCTTATTACCATCTACTGGTTTGAGATGTATCTTTTCTTTTCTTCTTCCTTTTAATTTGCTATGTGGAATTATAGATGAGCTACACCAGGTCAAGAATCTCCCTAATTTTGGAAGCCCATATCAATACAGTATTTGAACAGCCCATCCATGACCTTTACTGGCCTCTTTTAAATCCGTTCTGAGTCTTGGGTTCTTTTAAATATACTGAATTTAGGGGGATCCAATAACACAAGTCCCCAGACAAGGCACACAAACAAGTATTCATTTTATTTATTTATTTTTGTCAATTGCTTACAAGATAATAGGTATAAGTAAAAACATAGTTATGAATACTTGGATACATATAAGAATAAAATAAAAATAAAAGAAACAATAGGACAGGGATGGTGCGCTTATGCACACCCCCTACAGACCTCTTAGGAAAGGGGTGAGGTCAATAGTAGACAGTCTAAGGTTAAAGCTTTTGGGGTTTGGGGAAGAAACCACAGAGTCAGGTAGAGTATTCCAGACATTGACCACTCTGTTGCTGAAGTCATATTTCCTGCAATCAAGTTTTGTGCGATTAACCTTGAGTTTCTATCTATTGTGTGCTCTTGTATTGTTATGGTTGAAACTGAAGTATTCATTGACAGGTAGGACATTGCAATGTATGATTTTATATACTATACTTAGATCGGACCGAAGGCAGCGTAGTTCTAGGTTTTCTAGGTCTAGAATTTCGAGTCTGGTGGAAAAAGGTATTCTGCAACGAGTAGAGGAGTGGAGGACTCTTCTTGTGAAATATTTCTGGACTTTCTCAACTGTGTTAATATCAGATACATAATGTGGGTTCCAGACTGATGAGCTATATTCGAGTATTGGTCTAGCAAATGTCTTAATGCCTTTTTGGCTATGTAGTTACAGTGGGCTCTAGCACTTAGATCATTAGAGATGAGTACTCCAAGATCCTTGACAGAGTTTGGATCATCAACAAGGTCTTGACTATTCAGCCTGTATTTTACTACTCCACTCTTCCCCACTGCCATTCCTCCTCCTCCTCCAACTCCTACTCTTAATCCTTATGAATACAGTTTTGCTAGAGAAAATTATCTTTCCAACAGTTCAGGCTGTTTTATTTCCACACATGAACACATCTCCCTCCCTCCCTCCTTCTCCCTCCCCCGCCCTCTCCCCACTCTACACACACACAAACACAAACACACATTCATGTGTACACAGAAAATATTGTTTTATTTCTGATTCTCTGGTTGCATATTCCAGCGTATTTGTACCAACCACATTGTATAAAGAAATAATTTGGTAGCTCTTCAGTCATTTTGGCTTGCAAGGTTGCTGTCCCATAGTCTTCCACCACTTTTTCAAGGCCAGAGCTAAATTCCTCTACATATTACTATTTTATCACTGTTTCCTTAGGAAACTTTCTCTGTATCATAGAAAGGCGAGCTTCTGGTCATGGCAGCCATCTCCAATCTAATCTGCCCTCTCTTAAACTTCCAGAATAGGCAGCCAAAATATGTCCATAGTTGGCATACATTTTCCCTGTACACACATCGAACAACAGAAAACTGACCCAAGCTAAATATTTATGTATCATAAATACTAGAGAAACTGAGGCCGATGATGGTTTGAGGCTAAAGTAAATCTTTCTATGAACAAACTGAACATGTTGAATGCTCTTTTGAACTAAAAAGTGAAAGGCAGAGGATAACACGAGCCTGCTGGAAAAAAAAATCTCAAGGTTCTCTAGGTTTGCACAAATAAAATATCCAGATCCCTAAATTCAGGAACACAATAAGGGAGCTTTTCTTATATTATTCTGTATTATGGCACAAGGTATCTGCTCCCTGTTTATTTTATACATTTTTTTATATTTTAAGAAAAAATGAAATGCAAAATAACAACAAAAAAGAGTGAATTGAATTTATAAAATGAAAAGGGGAAATGGGGGAGAGAGATGAGTAGACTATTCTGGGAAGTTTTATATCAAAATCTATTTTAATGAATCCACAATGGACCGACAGTAAGCATCTCCGCTAGATAATTAATAGACAAACTGAAACTAAGTTGATCTAGTAAAAATAGCAAATGGGGAAAAATATTTTCCTCAAACCCCTCAATAAGTTACCCAAACCTACTTCATAGCTCAAAGGAGAATGTCTATAAGCACAAATAGTTAGTTAAAATGGACTCCTAGCAGAACTGGGAATAAACACCATAGACAGGGGTGGGCTTCAGAAATATCAGCAACCAGTTCTCTGCTCAGTTGCTGGGTGGGCGTGGCCATGGTGGGCATGGCCTAGTTGGCCTCCTGCACCCTGGGTGGGGTTGTTTTCAGCCTCCCCAGGCTCCTAAGGCTTTTCTTGAGCCTCCGGGAGGGTGAAAATGGCCTCACCCGGACTCTGGAGGCCCTTCGGAGGCCAGAAATGGATTTGGGTTAAGGAATGGATAACATTAAGAAATACTAGATTGTTGACATTAGAAGGACATGATCTGTTGTTGGGGTGGCATTCTTTTCTATGGTATAAAGAAACTAAAACACAGCGGTATTTTAGAAGACATTATATATGGGAGTCTCTGTGGTTAAACTGGGAGAAGATTAAAAGACAGTGTTATTTGAAATTCCAGTCTGGCTATCGACTATTAAAGCATTTTCCTATCCTATAATATATAAAAAGGAACAAACAGTTAGATATGGTGAAATATTGAATGAAAAGGGTGAACTTAAATCTATGCAAAAATTAGAGAAACAAGGTATAAAGATGAATTGGTTTTCATATGTGCAAATACATTCGAGGTATGATAAAGATTCTAAAACAGAAGGTTTCTATGATAAACTGACTGATTTAGATAAGATTTTGACAGGTACTGATGAAAAGGTGATTAAAAAATTATATGGATATTTATTAGAAATTAAACTAGAAGAAGAACAAGTTAAAGAAATAATGATTGCTTGGGGGAAGAATTTTGGATATGGGATCGATTTAGAGAAATGGCAAAAATTGTGGTCTCAAAATTATAAAATGACAATGTCAACAGCATATAAAGAAAATTTGTATAAGATGTTTTACAGGTGGCATTTCCCCCCAACAAGAATAGCAAGAATTTTCAAGAACAAATCTGAAAAATGTTGGAAATGTCATCAGACACCTGGCTCATATTACCATATGTGGTGGACTTGTGCGGATGCTAAAAAATATTGAACTAAAATCCACATGTGGTTGATAAAAATGACAAAAAGGCATACAGACTTGAAACCAGAGATATTTTTATTGGGAATTTTGCCTGAAATATATAGTAAAGAATTGAAATAGTTGATTGTAAATGTATTAACAGCGGCTAGGATTGTATTTGCCAAAAACTGGAAAAATGAGAAAATACTATCACAGGAGGAAATCATTAAGAAAATATTGGAATGTGCTGAAATGAGTAGATTGACATTTGAAATCAGAGAACAAGAGAATAAACAATTTTATAAAATTTGGGATCTATTCTATCAATGATTAGACAATAAAACATGGTAATGAAATATGTAGAGTCTTAGAAAATAATAAATATATAAAGATGTATTCTTTTCTTATATCTACAAAATGATTGTAGGATAGATTTGAGATGATAATATGAACTGTCATAAAACAAATTAAGTAAAATATGGATTATTTCATAAAACATGAATGAATAAAAGTATAGTCAAATGATTGATTAACAATGATATTAATGTATTTAATATTTGATCGAAAATATGAGAATAAATACAATGTAATTGTAATTGAAGACTACGAAATGGAAGCACAAAACAATTTGTAAGCCAACCGACACACTGTATGTAAATATATGGAAGATGGCTTGATGTTTTTATGTTTTGTTTGTCTATGTTTGTCTTAAAAACCAATAAAAATTAAAATAATAATAATACTTTATTGTCATTGTACATATATACACAGTATACACATATAACAAAATTCACATAACACCCAGAGACTAGACCTAACACGCATGCACACATGACAATCCCCGAACACACCCCACTCGCCAAAATTCCTCATCCCTAAAAACACACAAGCATCCACACAACAGACCAAGCAATATTGTCTAACAGCTCACTGATGGTGCTCCTTGAGTTCATTGTTAAGTGCAATTACAGCTCTGGGACAAAAACTATTCAGAAAACATGTGGTATTGACTCTGCTGGTTCTGTTTGGGCTGTAGTTAGATGCACTTCCCTTTTAATTTTGAAATAAATCCTTCTGGATTTTCTTTCCCCAAAATAATTGCTTGGGAATTGAGGACAAGAGGCTCTTACATTAGGAAAATGTTTCTAGTAAGGAGACTACCCAATCTAAACCCCAGAGCTGCACAAAACCTGGGTAGGATTTCTAGTCTTTCAAAAAACAAGCTCAATATTTCTGTGAAGTAAGCTTTCATCAAGGTGAATTCCCAAGGAAATGCATATTTAATTATTCACATATTAACTGCAGCTAGAATTGTATTTGCACAAAACTGGAAAAGTGAAGAGATACCCACAGATGAGAATGTGATCAGGAAAATATTAGAATGTGCAGAAATGAATAGATTAGCGCTTGCAATTAAGGAGAAAGAGCAAACTGAATATTATATGGCATGGGATTTATTTTATCAATGGCCAAATAACAAAAATTGATGTTATAAACAGGGAAACAAAAGATTAGTGAAATAAAGAAGATACATTAAGAGAGATAAGCAAATATCGTGATTAGTGTCTTATTATTATTTTAATATTGTAGAATCAATAGTCATGTAATGAATAATGTTGTAAATTATGATTATTATTTTACCAAGATATTTGTACCTGGACGACACACAGTTCAACTGAAGATGGAATTATTATATATATATTTTTTAAAAAAAAGATGAATTCCCAAGGCAATGCCCAGTTCTATAATTTTTGAATGTAAGATAGGGTTGTCTCATAAGTTCTGGCATTTGAGAATATCTAGCAACATTATTATTAAAAGTAAGAAAATGAGACCTGCCCATGTTGGAATCGATTCTGAAAAAAGGTCATAGAATGGACTTTGCTCTATAGAAAAAGGCTTGGTTCCAACATGGACGGGTCTGATTTCCTATTCTCCTTTATTAGGAGAAAAATAGATTATCTCTGACCATCACTAAAGCCTGCTGAGGCCACCTTAGCTCCCTCTTAATAATGTTGCTGGATATTCTCAAATGCGTTCTGACAGATCTTATGAGACACCCTCCTATTTTAATAATTTTATTAGAAGTTGGGCTTGTATGTGCATTTCCAAAGTTTAAAAAAAACCTCTGTCAAAGGATTTCCTCAATCGTAGTAATAGTCTCATTACTTTATCAAAAAATAAGTTTATCGGGGATGAGAAAGAATTTAGCCCAAAATATACTTCCACTTGTCAAGAAGGTAAGATTCAAAAAGTTCAGACTTTGTGATAGCATATTAAAATGCCTCCCTAGTTGCTTTAATTATTTAGCTATATTTGAAAACTTGAAGCAATTTAAGCATTCACGTAAATGCAAAGTTTGAACTACACCCAGAGTTCTTTGACGTGAGGTGTAGGGATCAGCATTTATTTTGTGGTTTTTTTACGGCTGCTCAAATATCTGTACCTTTCTCTATACATGCTGGAATGCCATCCTGTCATTTATTTGATGTCTCCTTTATCTGCAGGGAAATATTGCAAATTAAATATACATTTTAGGGATAGGCTTCTTTTGTCCGATGCTGTGGCGTCACTTCATATCACACCCTTTCAGAGGTAAGGACTGTATTCAACTTTTTCAATCCATGTTCACCTTCAAGTCAAAGATCACAGCAGAACTTGCTTAAACTAGCATAAATGTTTATCTCTTTTCAGGTTACCAGCTTAGAAGGTTATTATTATTATTTTATTTACATGTTGCCCTGCCAACTGCCAAACCCTTTCCCACATTTATAGAAATTGAACGAATTGAACAAACAAACAAATAGAATGGTTTCAACAAAAATCCCGTGCGTACATATTATACTATATATATATATATATATATAATCTTTAGTTGTTTATGAATTCCAAAAGTTAGGAGGACGGTTAGAGTTGGCAAAGGAGAAAGAGAAAGAAAAGGAGGAGGAGGAGAAGGAGAAAAAAGGAGGAGGAGGAAAAGAAGAATAAGAAGAGGAGGAGGAGGAGGGGAGGTTAGAGTTGGTGAAAGAGAAGGAGGAGGAGGAGGAGAAAGAAAAGTAGAATGAAAAAAAGGAGGAGGAGGAGAAGAAGAAGATAGTTTTTACCTGGATCAAGTGATTTAATTCTTATTTCCAGTTGTTGCAGAACTCAAAGTCCAACTGTTCGCTTAGCAGTAAGGCTGCTAGTGGCAAAGCTTTGGAGTCTCTGCGGAAGGCAACAGCATATAACGTAGTTCATGCCACACCCTCTATAGAAACGGAAGGAGATATTTTATTTCCAGTAGTAGATTTCAAAGTCTACCTATTCAGGTTGAGGTGAAGGAGCAACAGGAGACTAAGTATTCTAGCCCACATTTTTTGGAGACAGAGGGAGGGAGGGAGGGAGGGAGAGAGGGAGAGAGAAAGAGAGAGGGGTGGGCAGGTTGATGTGAACTCACTATTCATCTCATCTCTCTTCACGAGAAACCAATCACTAAGGTATGAATGGATGTCTTGCTAATTTTACAATCAGGGTATGTATATTTGTGAAGTTCTTTCTCCTCCCTCTTCACAGAGATTTACATAATTTTTCCCCTTCCTTTCATTCAGCCAGATCTTATCAGGCATATTTTCTTTCAAGTTTGCATTCCTGGATAAAGACAGCTCACCTGGTCATCTCTGTTCTGTCGCGGGAAAAGATCAGACTCAAGACCAGAGTTGAATTCAACTCTTTATTAACTGTCAGTAACTTCAACTAAACCGGAGCCGTGGCAGCCTCTTTTATAGCGGCTGCTCGCAGCTCACGGCCAATGACATCTATTTAAACATCCCGCCGTCAGGCAGACCAATTGCAGCAGTTGTTAACAACCAATCGATAGGCAGCAGTGATAGTCCAATCAGAATGTAGTATTACAAGTATGCAAATGTCTATATACAACACCCTTCCCCTTTTGGTTCGGTCCAATTCTACGTTACGTAGTCACATAAGTAGGCGGAGCTTTTATGGTTCCTACTTGACCTGCGCAGTTCAGTCTTGGCATTGTCTTTGGTCAGTTCGGACGGAATCGCTGTCTCTCTTGTCCTTCTCCGTGGAACCTCCTGGAAGGGTGAGTCAGCCATGCCGCTCCCGCCTGGTCTCTTCGGGCTGGTTGAGTTGGCTTTGCCGCTCCCTCCTGGTTTACCCGGGCTGGTTGAGTCGGCTGGGCTGCTTCTTCCAGGGGTGGCTTCGTGTTGTTTTTCCGCTGCCAGCTCCTTTCTTCCGAACTTGCCTGCAGGTAAATAGTTTTTATTTTTTGGTGGGCTTCCTGGTACTGGTTGGTGATTTGTCTTTTGTTGTGGAGGGTCTTGCCTCCCCTTTTTATTGTTTGAGGGTTCCCCCCTCTCTGGTTTTATTATTATCTATTTGATTTGGTGTTTGTGTATGTTCTATGCATCGAAGGTTGTCGGTGTTTCGTTCTAGAGTTCGAGATCGTAGTTGGTCTATGTGTCTCTTCCAGGTTCTGCCGTCCTCTGTTTCGAGTCAGTATGACCGAAGTCCCATTATTTGTGTTATTGTGGCCGGTAGCCACAATGGGTCCCCAGTAAGATTTTTGGCATAGACAAGGTTGCCCGGTATAAATGTGCAGTACTTACTGGAGGAGTCTGGTGGCTTTTCAGGGTTGTAGGTGGTGTGCAATCTATCCAAATGTGTCTGCAATTTTCTGCCCATTAGAAGTTCAGCTGGACTCTTGTTAGTTGATGTGCTCGGTGTTATATGTTGGATGGTGAGCATTTTATTGATTTTGTCTTGGATGTCACCTGAGTCTAGTTTTTCTAATGCCTCTTTCATATATCAAACTATGCATTCTGCCCATCCATTTGAAGCCGGGTAAGTGGGCACTGTTAGGGCATGTTGTATGCCCTGTTCTGTGAGGAATTGTTCAAAAGATAAGGCTGTGAACTGCGGGCCATTGTCCGAGACTAACAAGTCCCGTAGCCCATGCGTTGCGAAGAGTTTTCTTAGTTGTTTGGTGACGGCTTCAGTCGTCGTGGAATTCATGACATTGACCTCCAGTTCCCAGACTGGGAACTCCATTATAATGCAGCAGCATTGATATGGATCAAGGAATGGATCATTTTGAGTAGTAAAAGGATATTAACTCTAGAGGGTCATGATCTACAGATGGGGTGGCATGGCTTTCTATGGGAAAAGAAAAGTAAGAAGTAAACATATTTTTATAGACATTATATAAGAGATTCATTGATACAGATTTGGGAAAAAAATTAGGAGAAAACATTTTATGAAAATACTGGCCTGGTTATCCACTATGGAAGCAATGATATATCCCAACACATTGGATTTAGGCAAAATGTCAGATTCAAAGAAATATTAGATAATCAGCAAAAATTAAAAACAAATCAGGAATTAAAAGAGCAGGGGATAAGCATAGAATGGTGGCCATATCTCCAAAAGATGTAGAAGAATTTGGAATTCATACTGAATTGCAACAATTAGATACAATTTTAATAGGCCCCAAAGAGAAATACATAACAAAGATGTACAATTACTTATTAAAAGTTGCTTTGGAAGAAGTAGTACTAAAAGGCTGTATGATAGCATGGGCAAAAAATATGGGACATAATATGGATTTAGCAGATTGGGAAAATATTTGGAAAAAAAATTACCTTTAACAAGATCAGCAGCCTATAAAGAAAATATGTACAAGATGTTTTATCATTGGCATTTGCCACCAATGAGATTGGCCAAAATGTACCCTAACATAAATCCGACATGTTGGAAATGCAAATAAAACCAAGGTACCTTCTCTTATATGTGGTGGTTATGCCCGGAAGCACAAAAATACTGGATCAAAAAATGTAGATGGATACAAGAAATAGTGGAAGATCGAATAGAGTTTAAACCAGAGTTGTTTTTGTTGGGAATAATTAAAGGAAAATATAGGAAAGAGATTAAATACATTTGACTACATATATTGACAGCAACAAGGATAGTATATGCACAATGCTGGAAACAAAATAATATGCCCTCAGAGGAATTAATAATTCAAATTTTTTTAGGAAGTGCTGAAATGGATAAATTGACATTAAAATTAAAAGATGAAGAAGAGTCAGAATATTACAAACTTTGGGACAATTGGTATAAATGGTTGAACAATAGAAATAAAGATAACAGAGATAAGAAAATTATAAATAAATGTATATGAATGTATATAGATGTAGATATTTACATGAGATTGCTTTATATAATAATGATGTCATAGTACTGTTAATATTAAAGTTAAAACCTGTAAAAGTTGAAAAAGAACAATAAAAATTATTGAAAAAAAAGAGAGAGAGAGAGAAACAATTCGCCAAAGTTGCCAGGGACACTGCTCAACGAATCTACACCGAATCGCCAGATTTATATCTGAGACCTTTGCAGGATGTTTGTTTTCCTTCCGTATTTTGTGGGAATGGCATTCTAGATGTTAACTTTGGCCCAGTCCCTGTCAATATTTGTCACATTGCAAAGATTACTGGGAATTACAGTTGAAGTATTTGCAGCAACATAAAGTGATGGCTCCGAATGATGGTTTCTTGCCTTGGGAGGGGTCTTTGAAAGTTATGGGAACTGTAGTCCAACACCCTACTAGAGCTGCTCTTGGGGGGGGGTGTTGCAAAATTTTGGATAACCATTAGATAGCAACAAAGACACGCAAAACCTAAACTTTTCCAATGGTTCTCTAGAATTTTGCATCCAAAATATGGTAGTCCTAATTTCTGAAGGACATTAATTGAGGAAAGACTGCCTTATATGTGTGAAGAAGATTCCGTAGGGATAAGACAAATCCCTCCTCCCAGCTCTCTGAATGGTTCATTGCTGGTTTAGCTCGAAAAACTTTGTCTCCCTTCATAAAATACTACTTATCCATTCACAAAAACTATGTTTCCATTCAGGAAAATATCCAATGCAGTGAATGGCTAAAAGTCCAAACTGGCTTTACAAAGGACCGAAATGGACAGAAACGGATCATCCAGGCAAAAAATAAAAATAAAAAGATGAAAACACCGATACCCAGACTTCCTCCAGCCGCAAGAATCGTCAACTCATTTTTTGCACCTGTCTTTACATAAAAGGAAGAAAACAGTCCAGCCTATCAAAAACCACACAGTAACAAACAGATTAGGAATACAAATTAAAACAGGCAAGGAAATGATAAGAGAGTGTCTGTCTATCCTAGATGAGTTCAAATCACCAGATGGATTATACTCCAAGGTTCTGAAGGAACTGGCAGATGTGAGCTCAGAACCGTTGAACCATATCTTTCAAAGATTCTGGAGCACCGGGGAACTACCAGATGATTGAAAAAGACCTGATGTGGTTCTTATTTTCAAAAAAAACAAAAGAAAAAGGGTGGGGTGAAGGTTCCAGGAATCTACAGACCTATCAGCCTGACATCAATACCTGGAAAGATACTGGAAAAAGATCAAGCAATAAATATCCAAATGCCTAAAGTCATAACCAAATGCCAACATGCGTTTGTCAAAAACAGTTCACTCCAGACCAATCTTATTGCATTCTTTGACAAAGTGACAAAATTCGTGGACCAGAGAAATGCCGTGGATATCATTTACTTGGCCTTCAGTAAGGCATTTGATCAAGTAGACCACAATCTACTTTTTGATAACAGATAACAGATAATCAGAGTTGGACGGGACCTTGTAGGTCATCTAGTCCAACCCTCCACCCAAGCGGGAGACCCTACACCATTTCTGAGAAATGGCAGTCCAATTTCTTCTTGAAAGTCTCAAGCGATGGCACTCCCACAACTTCCGAGGGCAAGCTGTTCCATTGGTTGATTGTTCTCACTGTCACTCTTTATTTCCAGGTTAAATCTCTCTTTGTTCATTTTCCATCCATTATTCCTTGTCTGGCCTACAGGCGCTTTAGAAAATAGCTTGACCCCTTCCTCCTCTCTGTGGTAGCCCCTCAGATATTGGAAGACTGCTATCATGTCTCCCCTGGTCCTTCTCTTTACAAGACTAGCCAAGCCCAGCTCCTGCAACCGTTTGTTGTATGTTTTAGTCTCCAGTCCCCTAATCACCCTGGTTGCTCTTCTCTGTACTTTTTCTAGAGTCTCAACATCTTTTTTATAATGTGGTGAGCAAAACTGGATGCAGTACTCTAGGTGTGGTCATACTAAGGATTTATAGAG